GGATGGGGAACACATGTAAATCCATGGCTGATTCATGTCAATGTATGGCAAAAACCACTACAATATTGTAAAGTAATTAGCCTCCAACTAATAAAAATAAATGGAAAAAATAAAATAAAAATTAAAAAAGACTGACTTTCCTAGTGGTCCAGTGGTTAAGAATCTGCACTTCCATTGCAGGGGGCACAGGATCCATCCTTGGTTGAGGAACTAAGATCCCACATACATGTGGTGTGGCCGAAATAAAGAAGAGAAGAGATAATCTCGCCCATAGGGTCAGGGCAGAGGAAGAGTTAAAGAGGAAAATGGTGAGTGCCTAACAGTTACTGAGTGTGGACAAATGGGTGTTTGCTAAGGAACTCAAATTCTCTTCATTCCCTTCCGAACCTGGTTTGACAGCTATAACAATCTGCTACCATCAGTCCTGGAAACTGGGGGAAAACATCTAATTTCACATTTATATGATAGTTAAACTTCCCCCAATAAAAAGTGAAATGTAACTTCTTAGCTTGAGAAAACTGCATGTAATGTAGAAATAACCTTATATCAAAATCAAGATTTAACATGGTAGACATCCATGCGCTAGTTTGCTAAGATCGTGGGGACTGTGATGTCCACATCTATCCACAGCCAGTGCCTGACAGTCAGTGTGCATCGGTGCTGCCACGCTGTCCAGACTGTTTGAAAAGAATCAGTATCATCAGCATCACTTCTGATAAGGGGAGCCACCAGGCTGCAGAAAGATGTCACGCAGAGCAAGAGTCTCAGCTGCTAGACAAGCTGGGGGATAAAGCTCATATCTGGGGTTTCTTCTCAACCTAAAGACTCTGGCTTTTCCTCTGACGTTCTTTGGTGGAGCCTGGGTGTTGGGGGAGAGATAAAGGGGTCCAGGCTGCTTTTGAAAAAGCACTTGAAGTTCTTGGTCCTCTGTTAACCTTTTTGAAGCAGTTATTCACATAAAAAGAATCTTAAAAACTTTAGAGCTATTAATCATGATGAACTCTGCAGCAGTCCTAAGATGTAAAATTTGGTCCACATGTAAATGTAAACACAAAAGTGTGTTTCTGTGCCCAGAAGAAAGACTTATTTGCAGAAATACCTCATCTTACCTTTTCCTTGTCAGATTTTTTTCTTTTTTTCATCCTTCTGTTTTGGAATACCAGTGGGAAGTTGGTATGTAGCTGTCCATTTCTCCTTTCCCCTTGGACCAAAGGTTTAGACCTTTTCTGTGTCACACTAAATGAAAACAATTATCTTTCAATCTCTTGCAAATTGGCTCTTTGTGTTTTGAGGACCAGGCTTTTGTGTTTTGAGGATCTGATGTGGCAGAGATTGTAAACAGACAATCTCAAAACTCAATGTCCATTCTCTCCCTTCTCAGTAACCGAATCCTGAACTTATTTGGGAAACCCATGCTCATAGCTAGAAAGGTAAGTTTCCCCAGCCTCTCTGGCAGTTGAATGTGTCCAAGTAACCTGATGTTGGTCAATGAGGTAAAAGTGGAAGGCTGAATTACACCTCTAGAAGGTCCTTACTAGAGAGGGAGTGAGATCTTCTGCCCTGTTATTCTTTTTTCCAAATGGAAAGCAAATGTAACGACTGGAGCCCCATCAGTCACTGCGGACCAGGCAGTTATCTTGAGAAGTAAGCCAGATGACAGAAGGAACACAAGTCACTGATAGCATGGAGTTCTCTGCCAGCCTGGATTTCTATCTCCAGATTTCTTTTACATAAGAGATAAGTAAATCTCTATTTTTATAAGACATTTATCATATACAGCTGGACCTAATCACAGCAGATACACTTGGGAAACTGTTGAAGGCACCACTTTGAAACATTAAGCATTTGGTGTACTAAATACAATAGCAAACATATCTACAATGCAATTAGCAATGCCAACAGCTTAGTCTTTAAAAGCTCTGAGTGACATTGTATGCAGACATGGCTTGTTATCAAGCAAATCCAGGGAAATGTGTCTGTTAGGCTCAGGTTTTATGTCAAATAATAACCAAATGGAGCAATGACATTATGACAATCTCTATAAATATATATGATTATTATTGTCATTTAACCAATGGGCAAATAGAAAGGATATACTACTTGTCCCAGGTTACAAAGCTGGAAATCCAAGCAAAGTGAGTCAGATTTCAGAGTTTGTGTTATGAAACACCATAATAAGGAATCCTCCATATTTACATTTTTCTAAATAGTCTTGACCATCCCCTAAATTCTCCATTGAGCATGTCAAAATGGCTGAAACCCAGGCAGGGCTATTCATCCTTAAAGTAAGGGCTGCACAGGTAGTCATGGCATCAAGGGTTTGACATCCAGGGACAGAGTCAAAGTCATTCTTGGCAAATCAACCTAGTCTCCCCTTCAGCTGTAATTTAATAGTCTATCTCTTTAAATTGAAAGAAACATCAAGGGTCATTAATGCTCAGTCTGGGAAAATTAGAAGCACTATTGAGTTAAGACACACAGACACATATGTCATTATTGTTTAATCACAATCAGACATTACATGGCACAAAACACTCCGTCTATCTCTTTGCTGTTCCAAATCTCACGAACTTAAAAACCTGAATTTGACACAAGCAGTTTAAAGAATTCTTCTGACCAAACTCCCCAATCCCAAAGGAGATGAAAAAGTAATAATGTAAAAAAGTTAAGGTCAAGGTGGCCTGATATCACAGCTAATGACTAACCATTTGTCTACAGGCGGTTCCTGCTCCACCCTGAAAGCTGCCAAGCTCCACTCTGTCCAACAAGTGGTTAGTGATCGGTTCCCTGGATGATTGTCCCTGAAGGTAAGCCATGCTCTGGGGGGTACATTAGGCACTTTAAGTGGGGGTAGTTACCTTTCCCTGACTGGGTATAATGTTTGGCTCTCAAAAAGCAAGGTAAGGAATTTTACACTCAGACAGAATGTCTTGTGACTCTCTGCCCCTGGGATTAAGCGCTGGGATTCCAGGGCGTTCTCAAGAATACCTACACCATACGTTCTGCAGGAGCTGTGCAGGCTGGCCAGCAGGGCGTCTAAGGTCTGCCTGTTCTGTGGACACCACCACAGTGGCCCACTCTGACTTGGTCTCTCATCTTGAGTCTTAGCCCATCTAGGCGGTGGTACGCTCCATAGTGAACAAGCAGCGTGTCACTGATGCTCACACCCATCACAACTGGCGCTGGGTGTCAACACCCTGGAAGGCTGCAGCCGCATATGCTGCATTTATCAGCTCTGGGTTTTAGGAGCAAACCCAGCCCCGTGTGACCCGATCGTCACTAGCTTATTTGCCTGGAGAATCCCCTCCCCTACTCGGCTTCATCCACCTCTTCCCCAGCAGTAGCTGCTTCTAAGGCCGCGAGGGCTTCGGCCACCTCCGCGTCCTCATCCGCCGTCTCCCAGCTCCCGTCTCCGGCGGAGCCAGGGGCCTCCTCCCACCCGTTTCTCGAATCGACCACAGGCACGTCCTGAGCAGGATCGTCTTTGTCAAAGCAGACACTTGGGAGTTCGGTTGTCACAGCCTCGTTTAATGAATCCCAGCTTCTCTTTACGGAGAAGGGCATATTCACACCACACTCCCCTGCCGGGGCGTGATCACCCTCCTGGGGCTCCTTCTCAGAGTGGATCTTGAAAAGACGGCCCTTCTCTTGATGATCAACGTGATCAGCGTTGTCTTCAGCTGAGCCCCAAAGCTGAGGGTAGTCCGGGGTGGGTGTCTGGAGGACATGGGCTGGGACTTCCCAAGCAGCAAACCCGGCCATGGATGGCGCGCCGGAGCCCCCATTCCCGATGACCTGCTTCTCTCCCGAGGCCAGCTGCTTGCAGTCAGGCTCCCTGGCACTCCCTCCTTCAAGGAAGGGCTGGGTCGGGTGACCTTTGTTTGCAGCACTGGCCCAAGAGTCCCTGTCCCCCTGAGGGGGCCCCGGCTCACCGGTGAGCGGCAGGGCAGCAGCGGGGCCGAGGCCATTGATGGCCCCGCCAGTCTTCTCGGCACACGGTCCCCCCACCGCATCCCCCGAGAGGAGTGGTCCTCGGGGCGGCCCGCAGGGCTCCTGCGGAGCGGCTGTTCCGCTCCCGCTTGCAGTTCTCCTGGAGCCCTCGTTCGGAGGGTCACCCTTGTGCACCAGGATTTCGCTGCCCTGTCTGTCTTTCAATTTAAGAGTGTCCTCTTCATCTAACTTGCAGCTGTTTACTTCGTTAACGTAACCAGGGGAGGGCACGTGAACCGGATCGAAGAGATAGCTAGGATGAGAAGAAGGAAGATCAGTCAAGTATTAACTTTATTAATACCTAACTTTCATTATTAATATTTCTACTGCAGGTTCGGCTGCTGCTCTGTGGTTCTGGTTAACTTCATTTCCATGGTTACTCTTTTAAGCCTATATGTGCGCCTAGTTAAATAGATATTGGATATGAATCTGAGCAAACTTTGGGAGATAGTGAAGGACAGGGAAGCCTGGCATCCTGCAGTACATGGGGTGGCAAAGAGGCCGACAGGACTTAGTGACTCAACAGCAACAATTAAATAGATACACTTGGTATAGAAGTGGTCTACCAACTGGAAACAGATCTTAAGAAGGGGTTACAAAAAGGGCAGAAAGAAGGTAAAGAACAAAGTGGGTCATGAAATTTAAAAACAAACAAAAAGTAAATAAATAAAATAAATGTTCAACAATAGGAAAATAAGTGGTTAAGAACTGATGGCACAACATTAATATTACTGGGGTGATTTATTTTCAGTAATGCTATTTCAGGCATAACAATTATGAAGTCTGGACTAGCATGAAACTTACTCACAATAAATACTTTTGAATGGCACCTAACATTAAATTATAACTATAGTGACAAAAATGATATATGTATGTAGGTATGTATATATTGATACCTATTTATGCATAACACATAGATACAGATATGGAATAGAACATAATAAAGATAGTTTTGTTATGGAAGCAAAATGATCAGTTAATTTCCCCCCTTTATTTTATATAGAATTATATTCATGTTGCCCAAATTTTTATGAAATAGAATCTGGACAAAATTAAAAGCACATACATGACTGGGGTGATTTATTTTCAGTGATACCATTTCAGGCATCTTCTAAAACCCAAGCTTTTCTTTGCACTGAAACTCTCTGGAGAAATGTAAATTTAACCCAAACCAAATTCAGCCTCAGAGAATGACTGCTCCCAACATGCTCGGAGCACGGCACAAAAAATTTTTACAAATAAATCCAGCCCCCGTGTTCTTTTAAATAATATTAATGTGGTTCCAAACTCTTAACTTCCTGGCAATGCTAGTCATGCCCCAAGCTGGAAAATGGCATTGAATCCACGCAGGATGTTTAACAATGCCTTTGTGGTAGTCACAAATGTCTCCATTTTTTCAACTTTACCTTTGTATCATTTTACAGCACCTGCACCCCATCTGGATTATTTTTTGTTGTCATCTGGGAAAAAAAGAGAAAAGAGTGAATGACATTTTGTTTTATTTTTTCTAATAATTGTTGGTTTCATTGTAGGAAGACATTGGTTTCTTTGCAGTCAGAATGAAGGAGCTGCACAATTTAATTCTACATAAATGACTGAATATATAAAGTATCAAATATAAACAGTAGTGTAACAAGAAAATAAATTGACAGAAATAATTATTCAACTACTAGCAATAATTAAGACTACCATTTGAAAGATCTTCTATAAACAAAGAATGAAAAAATACTGTCATAAGATTTTATAGCACACAGTTGTATTCCATCCTAATTCATTACTATTATAGTTCCTTCTTTTTCAGTATTAGTGAACCTATATCATAGCCTGTCAATTCACTGTGTTTATTTTGTGAAGCATCACAGGCAAAATATGTCTTAGAACGCCAACACCTACAATAAGCTGCTTTAGTAAGACAGAAATCTTCAATGTTTATTTCACCCACCACTTTGGGATTTTCCTTTTGTATTTTAAGATTAATCAAGTTATCCTTCTTTCCTTTTTCTTCAGGAGGAATGGACAAACTGAAAGGTAGCTACGTAGTCAAAGTATACCAAGGAAAGGCAATAATCAAAGCCACTCTGAACCTGTGAGCCGGGGGAACCAGGTAATGGTCTCAGGGCTGAGAGCTGTTTAAGATATCAGGGAAGCTGAACCTTCACAGGGGCTTCCCAGGTGGCTCAGTTGTCAATGCAGGAGATGGCAGCCCCAACCCTAGGTCGGGAAGATCTGCTCTTGGATGAAATGGCAACCCACTCCAGTATTCTTGCCTGGAGAACCCCCCGGACAGAGGGGCCTGGCGGGCTGTAGCCCATAGGCTCGCAGAGTCGGACACGACGGAGCACATCTGCAGGCGGGCAGGCGCCTCCAGCACGCGGGCTTTGCTCGGCAGCCCCATCCTGGCCAGAGACTTCCGCCCCGCTCTGGCTGAGAGTGGAGACGGCTAGCTGCAGGCACTTGCAGTCTGGGCTGGGCCCGGGCAGCTGAGTGAGATTTCAGTAGGAATTGTTTGCTTTTTCTTTCCCAGATCCTCAAAGTCAGTAGAGTTACAGTCTTTGGAAAAGGATTCCATGTGAGCAGGGAGGGCACTGGTTACCTGGGATACCTTCACATATCTAAAATCACCGATTCAGTACTCGAAAACTTTCATTGCCACTTGTCTCTGGGCCAGACGTTTCCCTGACTCTGGGAGTTATATGTCATCTCCATTTTGTAAATGAGGAAAAACAGGTTGACCAATGCCAGAGAGAGAAAGGTGGACTTGAAAAGGACCTGTGTGTCTTCTTCCATTGCCTTCTCCATGGGACTTGGACTTAACCAGGGTGTTAAGCCCTGGCGCAGCAGCAGGCGGAATAAGAGCAGAGAGGCTTCCTTGCCCAGGGGTTTCAGTACTAGAGAGGATGTCCTGGGCTTCCCAGGTGGCGCTAGTGGTAAAGAACCAGCCTACCAATGCAGGAGATGTAAGAGATGTGGGTTTGATCCCCTGGGTCAGGAAAATCCCCTGGAGGAGGGCATGGCAACCCACTCCAGTATTCTTGCCTGGAGAATCCCACGGACAGAGGAGCCTGGGGGGCTATGGTCCATGGGGTTGCAAAGACTAGAACACCACTGAAGCGACTCAGCACAGCACTAGAGGATGTCAGGATAGGGCAGTTGATCCCGGTTACAGACCCATGTTCCATGTTACAGACCCAAGGAGGTTACAGGTGAGTAGTCATCACATGCTTTATGTGGGCTAACCTGCTCCTTTTTGCCTTTCCCATCACAAGGCATGGACTCCACTGTCTGCAGTTCAAAGACACACTCCTTTGGGCTTCTTGGTGGAAGATGGAGTTACGTCTGTGCTTCCTTCATTTCCCACCTGCCCTCTGTCCTCTGCCTGTTCCCAAGTTACATTTTTTCCCTCAAGATTGCCCTTTGAATGAAACCCTCTCTTCATGTAAAAACCAACCATGCTGTTCTGGTCTTTTCCTTGAAAATCCTAGAAACTAGCATGGAAGAATCTTTAAGTCATCCTCCATGTCTAATAGTTACCAACTTAAAGAAGACAAGTCAATGACAGAATTGAAAGCCCCAGTCCCTTTGTCTCCCTAAGATGCGCATGCTAGAGAGAGAGAGGGATCACTTATTGTTTTTATTTTGTGGTTTTGGTTTTTGTTCTCTATTTTTGGACCTTGCCACTCAGCATGCAGGATCTTTGTTCCTTGACCAGGGATCAAACCTGTGCCCCCTGCAGTGGAAGCCGGCCTGGTGTCTTAGCCACCGGACTTCAGGGAAGTCTCAGGAATCATGTCACTGCCTTCTCTGTTCCCTCTCCTTCCTTCTTTCAGTCATGAATGGATTTCCCAAGATTCTACTTCATAAGCCTCTAACCACAGAGAAAATGACCAATACCATTTAAGAGGTATAGATTAGCTGGTTGATAAATCTAGAGGGAAGTAGTTTTACACCACCTCCCTCCCCAAAGATATCCAGCATCCACATCCTAATCTCTGAAACTTGTGACTGCTACTGCATATGACCAAAAAAAAAAAAAAAAAGTCTGTGCACATGTGATTACAGATTTGACATGAGAAGACTGTCTGGATGGTCTGGTTCTGGCTCCAGCTCTGCTCTGTGACTCTGGGCCTCAGCTATTTCATCTGTAAATGGGGATAATGATGTGTCTACTACATAGCATTGTTGGGGATTATATGAGTTAACATTCATAATAAGCATATACTTATTACTCAGCTCTGTCTGGATACAGCATGTTTAAAAAAAAAAAGAAGCTTTTCACCTAAGGAAGAAGTGCTCTAGTTGCCATGACATATGCATACACACAAGAGCATTAACAGTACCAAGTTATACCTGTTTCCAGAATAAGGACCAAATGGTGTATTTCTACCAACTGTGGCAACAGAAGAAAGAACGAGAGGCTGGTCTCGAGCAACACCTCGTTTTCCCAGGGTCTCCGAGGCTGACCAAGGTCGACCTGACCGCACTCTCTGCCACTGTGGCTCTGGCCACACTCTCAGCCATGCCGGGAAGCGAGCTGGCTGCTGAGATTTAACTTCTCTGCGTCTCAGAGAACCGACCAGTCACCTGCGCCTTTCACACTACCCGTCCCGCCCCGCCCATGTCCCTGGAAAACCAGAGGATCTCTGTTTTTCTTCTAAGCCGTGCAATATAGGAGGTGTTTGGATGCTGCTCCCCGGCCCCCTCCCGCTCCCCCTGCCTCCCTGTAGGGGGCGCCCTCGGGTTTCCTACAGGCCTGGTCCTGTACCCGAGGGCCAAGCTCTGCGCCTCTCCCGCCGGTGCCTCTTCCTGGCTAAGGGTCCCGCCCTGGCTCCCACCGCCGTCCTGCTTCCCTGCCCAGCGACATTCCTCCTCTTGGTGAGACAGGCGCTAAGGCCCAGGGTTGAGTGACTGCTGACGAAAAGGGTGGGGACTGCTGCATGTACACCTACCCCTGCCTGCCTGTGTCTACAATGAGTCTTCCACATATGATGATGCCTAACACCAATTCTGATTTATTTCTCTTTTCATGTGTCACTCCCACCCCTATACCTTGCTTTTACTGGAGTCTCCCATTTCCAGGTGCCAAAAAGGAAATAGTCCACGTCCATTTCCCATGGAAATGGGGGGGGGGGGGATGCTCTTTTGAAGTAAGACTGAGTTCAAAACGGGCAGTTTGTCTTCTGTCCCTTCCCCGTCACTGTGACAACAGCTGGGTCAGAGGTGAGAACTCAGTTGTCCAGTGCCCTTTATTATGGAGCAGAATCAGAACTTGCTTTGTCTTTGGAGTATAAAAGAGCAACAGAGAAAAGCAAAGGGCAAAGCAGCCATCATCTGGTTTCCATGGGAGAAAAGCAAACACCATTAGGATGGTGTGTCCACCTAGTGTCCACCTTCGGTGCCTGACCCTCCTGGAGTCCTGTGTCGGAGGCTGACTCTTGTCCTGTGTTTACTGTTGAAAGTAAAGAGTCCTGTATTTGAAGACGGTCATGAAAAGACGCCATCAGTTACTAGTCAAGTGTTCTTGCTGGAAAATCCGGTTTCACAAGGGGGTTGGTGATGGAGGTGGGGAGAAATGAGGAGGCCAGGGGTGGGGGGGTAAGGGGCACAGGAGTTGTGCAACCAGGCAGAGAAATTAACTGAGCATTCATCAGGAAGTCAAGGAATATAGAAAAAGGCTCAACTCAGCTGGAAAGGGCTGCCTTTGAATAGTGATGATCTTAAAGAATGACACACACAGGTCAAACTGACACAGGGCCAGCTTGTAGGCGTCCTACTGGCCAAATCTGGAACAATGGGAGCATCACAGTAAGCACAGACATAAAGGAGTATAATACACTGAATAAAACAAGGATCTGTGAATCCTCAGGATATAAATCTAAAAAAGGGAGAGCTCTGACTTACAAGTAGAAAGTCTGCTAACAAACAGAATTATAGAAGTCACCATTAGACAACCATCACAGTAATAATTGACTCAAGCAAGAATCATCAACAGATGTTTAGACCACTGGGTAAAAACCTGAAGAGAACGGGATATATTTAATCCCAAGTATTGGCACTGGCCAAAAAGTTTATTTAGGTTTCTCATAACATCATACCAATGAACTTGTTTGGCCAGCCCCAATAGCTCCCCTATTATATGCATGGGGTAAAATAGTATCCTTACAGTGGAGAAAACTGGGTCACAGCACCAAAATCAAATAACCAAGGGTAATACTGTGAGTAAGGGTAATATTGTGAGACTAGTCAATACCCTCCAAGCTGGTGCGCTGAGAACTTGGCATCACCGCTGTGATTTTTCTGTCAAAGAGTATAATCTGGATCGAAGCAGGAGGCAACATCAGTCAAACACAACTTAAGGGGTATTTTGCCAAACAACTGGTCTGTACTCTTTCAAAAATGCAACTTTAGGGAAAAAAAACAAAGACAGGCTGTGGAACTATTACAGATTAAAGAAGACAAAAGA